AAGCAGGGAATAACAACTACCATTTTTAAGGACTTTGGTATGTCCAGGCGGAAAGATTATATGTTACAGGGATGGAGCTCATTTTACCGGTCTTTAACTTAAAAGTGCTATTGACTATTGAAAACGAACCAATCAAAATGTCTTATGTAGGTGACAAGCCAATCGTGTGGGAAGAGCTAGTACTCGGCCTTGACCGATACATGTTTGACGTCATTGCAGAAAATATTGAAAGAGTAGAAAGGGATCTCTATAGGTTTTCGGAAATTACGACTTGGAACGTTTTTTGACTCTTCTTCTTTTTTTGTCGATGCGAGTCGTCTTGATAGAATTAACAATTAAAGTATAGGATTCGGAATAAAACAAGCTTCTCGTGTCCTCCTGCAAGACCTATCCGCTAAACTTTGCCACGGAAAAACACAAAGATTATATTTATCTAAACAAAAATTATCTCATCATTTTAGAATTTTCTTTTTACATTTTTCAATATTTTGTTGGTAATATTTATAATTTGTTATTTATACTCAATTACCATTCCAACATTTATTTGTTTTTTTTCTTTTGTTCCAGGTTGTTTTAAAACATATAAAAGAGGTAAATGTCATCCCAATCACTTATTAGTATATTTCGTAATATATGAATACATGTAAAAATAGGAAATATACATATGTAATTGTATATTGGTTGCTATGTGTTTATGATAGCGCCTGAAAATGTATTTTTTGTTAGAAGTTGGAAATGTTAATATCAAATACAACATATAATACCTTCTTAATAAATATATGCGTCTTAACGAGTTCATTTGATCGGGCAGTGTTATATATAATTTCTGCATGTAAAACAAAATATTCGCCAATCCACCAATAGTGCATACGGTTTCCGGTTAGGGGAAATAAGCCTGCATTGTCCTATTGAAAGATTACCTAATGTCTGACATTCCCGCCATTTCAGTCTCTGAAGGAGATTCATTTCGCCGTGGAGGACATTGGGCGTCCCCGTGAGATATCAGAGGAGGAACGCAAGAAACTCCGAAGGTTTGTCCGATTTATTTCTTCTCTAATTTTGATGTTTTTAAATATTTGCTATTTTATCTCCTCTTGAGGATGAATTAGAAATAGTTTAAAAAAAACACACACCTTCTTAACATTTTAGAAGAACATCGTTTTACATGTTTCCTCAACAGATGAATGTTAAAACAACAGTAAATTGTTATTTTTGGTATTATTTTGTTTTATATTACTGTTGGTCTTTACTTTAAACTTGATTTTTGATATTTTTTTCCATTGTAGAAGTTTGTCGAGCTCCGAAATCGACTTCCTAAAGGAAGACTTTTCAGCGGGCAGACAAAGGGATTCAGGAAAATTTGATTCACCAAAAGCATCGCCACTTACAATCCAAACAGACACAGCCTCACCGAGATATCTTAGAAGTGTTACACACAACGGATCTGGTGATCTCCTTAATCAACCCGCTTGTGACCTTCTACTTGAAATAAACCCTATTACGTCACTTCCGTTACGACAGAAATTCATAATGGCAGACGTGCATTATGAACAGAGTGTTTCAACGAAGTTTCCTGATCCACCGCCTAGTTTTCTTATTTCTCCAAAATCACACTCCAGACAGACGTTAACAGATACGACGTTTTCGTTATACTCCCAAAAGACTTTATCCTCAAAATCACAAGATGCCAATCAACCTTTAAACGTTAATAAGACAAGACTCGCTCCCACTAGTATATCACTGGATACGACCAGAGTGAATTCTTTACACACCGGTTCTCAGAGTAAACTCAATACAAAATCCGTTTCTGCGGGAGGAACTCCCACATACGAATCGGCAAGCCTTCTTTCTTCCATTCCAGTATTAAACAGGGGTACCTCATCTGACACCTCGCTTTCACCTCGTTCCGGAAATTCGTCCAATTCCGGAAGTTATGAACGCCTTACACCTAGATCTGCCAGACGAAAGTTTTTCGAAGATCAAAGTGACTTGCAACCATCTTCTTCAATGTCAGAAAAAAGTCAAAGTTGTGAAGGTATCCAAGAGGATAA